TAGAGTTTTGAATTAATTAAAAGAGTAAAAGATGTTTCCATTTTGCTATTTAATTATATTAGGTACAATAGTAATAATATGATAAGAGTAATATGATTTCAATTCAAATTAATTAATCCACAGTGAATTCAATTCAGAAGCAAATATATAATTTCCTAAAGTTTATGAGTTTTGTATAAAAATAGAGCCAAGAGAATTTCCAAATGAAGTGTAGAAAGAAGAAATAATTGTTAGTATGATATTTGAAATACTTAAAATATTTATTATATTGGTTTAAGATTGGATAGTTTCGAATCTTTAGATACAATTTTAATCTAATTTATCTTATAAGTCTAAGCATCCTATTCTTTGAAAATATTCAAGATCATCATTCTCACTTTGAATTTTTGTGTTTTCTTCACAAGTATTTGTAACTTTGCTTAGATTTAATCCCCCTGCACATATTTTGCATTGATTAATATCTGGACCAGAACAAATCAAGCAACTCCTGTGACAATATTCACACTTATTATTAGATTCATTGAAAAATTATCCCTCTTCACATTTATCACATTTATGAAAAGTGGGTTAAAATATTAGCCCAAATGAACAAGACAAGCAATTTGTTTCTAACTCTCCATTACAAGTGCGACAATTTTTATGACATTCAAGGCATTTATTATCTGAAATATAATATCCATTCTTTGTGTTGCAATTACTTGTGCAAGAATTATTACTTTTATTTAAAATTATATTAATTTTAGGTATAATTTATATACTACAAATCTTCATATAATAAATATCACATAATCATCATAAAGAAAAACAGAGTAATTTAATTTTAAAAAATGTTTCCAATTTTTAATTTTAAGGGTTTTAGCTAATATATGAGGAATTACATGAATTTATTAATTAATCAATCAAGTTTTATAAAGCAAAAACTATTAGAGCATTAAAATTACAAAATAATTTTTAAGAAAGTTTTAAATATATTTATTTAAACAAGTTTTTACCTGACTAATAAATACTGTCCTTTTCTACATGATAGGCATTCAGTATTTTTAACACCTTTACAAGTTAGACAGGAGGAGTCGCATTAGAGGCATTCATTTCCGCTAATAAATAATCCATCTTAAATACACGAAACACATTGATTGCTTAAGTTTGATAAAATTTAGTTAATAATAAATTAAAAAATTATTATATAAACCAAAAAAAAAAAATGCAAATCTATCTAATAATATTTTTTATCATAACTCTTAAGAAATAAATAAATAAATCTATTTTTATCTTATTATATTAATTTAGAGCTTATTTAATTTTGAATTATTTAGATATTGATTTTATTAAATAAATAAAATTTTTCTTATAGTTTATTTTGAGTAAATATTTTGTAAAAAATTCAATTTATTTAATAATTAATTTGCGAAATTATTCAAATTTAGAATTCCCTCCCAATTATCATTGCTTACTTTTATGTCAATTAATAACCAGGTTTGCATGTTAGACATTTCTAATTTTAAATTTCATCGCAAGTTAGGCAAGATGAATCGCACTATATACATTTAGTACCTACCTTTTGTTGCCCGCTTTAATCGCATGCTACACACTCATTGCTTATATTAAGATTATTAAAATAATTACAAATACAACACATTAATAAATATTTATTATAAATACTTTTGAGATAAAAATAAAGATTTTTCACATTATGTGCAATTAATTTTTTGAGTTCCATTACAATTTAAACATGAAGGATCACAGTCTTTGCATTGATCATTTTCTTAGAATTACCTGTCTTAATCACATTTAACACATTTTTTGCTTATATTAAAATAATAGTAAATTTCTTAAATATGAAACAATAAAAAGAATGAATTTTTAAATAAAAATTTAAGTTATTATTTTTAAATTACCCTATTGTTAAAAAATAACCTTATCTGCAAGTTAAGCACTTATCTTCAGTGCATGTAAGGCAATATTAATCACATTCTAAACATTAATTATCTTTAATATAAAATCCGTTATTTATCTAGCATATTGCACAAGTTTTACTTTTATTATAAAAATTATTTAAATCTAATAATTGAATTATGAATAGTGAGATAATAAATTACTCTTTATAGAATTGAAGCCCTTCTTTGCATGTTAAACAAAAATTTGCACTGTATTAGCATGTAAGACAAGAATCATCACATTTTTAACATATTGATCTTTATAAAAACCATCCTGGTTGTTAGCAATCTACACAAATTCCACTAAAAATTGATAATATAAAAAAAGATATTTTATCAAAATTTTAGCATAATTTTCTTCTAATAAAAAATTTACTCAATTGTTAAGTAGTAATTACTTTTACATGTTAAACATTTATAATTATTAACTGACAATATATCACAAAACTAAGAGTAATCAATGCAAGTTTTATTTACAAGAGAATATCCCTGTTTACATTTAATACAATCAGTATTTTTTGATCCTGTACATCCATCGCAAGATGCATCGCATTCCTCGCAGGTATTTATATCATTAGATCTATTTTTTAAATTAAATTTAATTATTATTTGAAAAAAGTTTTTTTTTTTTCTAAGTAAATATCTTACTTATTACCATTTGTTTTATATTTTTATTTTATAATTAATTATTACAAAAGAGTATTTCAACATAAATGAATATTAAATCTGAAAAAAAAAAATTAACTAAAAAAGTAAATATACAAAAAATGGCTCTGAAAATCTTACAAAGAATTAATGAAAAAAATATGATTCAAGAAAAATATAAATTTTAAATATTTAATAATACCTTTACAGTAAATATTATGATTATTTGCATGAAATACAATCAAAATTAGATGGTCCTTTACAATTAGAGCAGGTACTGTCGCAAAGCTTACATTTTTTTGTATTATCATTAGGACTGTTAAAAAATATTTAAAAAAATTTTGAAAATTTAATATTTTTGCAAAAACTACTCTAAATCTAAGTAATAGCCGTCTATACATTCTGTACATTAAGTCTCTTAAGATCCAAAACAATGTTTACATGTTTTAAAACATTCTTTACAATATTGATTTTCAGAAATGTAAAACCCATCTTTTTGACATTCATCGCAAGCTCTGTTACTTAAATATTACAACAAATTTATTAAAATTTTAATATTTTATTATATAAAATAAAAACAGAATAATAAATTTAATTGCATTTAAACTTGAATAATTAATCTAAAAAGCTAATTATTTAAATATAATCTAAACCATATTTTTTATTATTAATTTGAGAAGTAATGGATATTATGGGTTGATGTTAATTTAAATTTTTGAATTTTATTAGTTAAACTATAGCAAATTATTTATCAATAACCTTCAATCCTCAGCTTTACTTCTTATATTTGATAGAATAAAGATTACTAATTAAATAAGTATAATTTTCTAAATTTAAACAATGACTTCAATAAGTTGAGGCCATAATATATCAATAAACCTTTATAGCATATCACATCAAATTTTAAATAATTTTAGTAATTTTTTTTCTTCTTTTAACTACTTTCTCATAAATTATTTATGCCAAATTTATTAACTCCAATGTTATAAATATATTTGTGAAGTGATTTAATTTTATTAATAATATAGCTTTTATAACTCCAATTTTAAGATTTTAAATTTATTAATTTTTTGATTGATAAATCTTTATTTACTTAACTGTCAAATAATATCCTTATTCACATTTTAGGCAGTTAGTGTACATATAATAATTATCACCTTTACATTATTGACAATTTGAAATGCAAGATTAGCAAAAAGGACCATCACTTTAAAGTTTAATAAAAATTTAATATTAGTAAAAAAAAAATAAGCTTTTAAATTTGATAATAAAATGAAAACATTTTAAATATTGTTTTAATTTTGATATTTTAATAACTTTCTATTTAGATAATAATTAAAAATTGATGAATTTACAAAATTCCAGTGCTAGAGCAGCTAAATTCTAATTGTCTTAAAGAGATCTTTTTATTTTAAATATATTTATTAAATAAAAGCTACAAATAAATAAATAAATAGTTGAAGCTGAAAAATTATATGGCCAATTAATAATAAATTTCTTTTTCTTGAAATAATGATTGATATTTAGTTTTGATTTTTTGTATTATTTCAACATAATTATACTTAAAGTGACTAAATTAATTTTATTTTTATATAAAATAACTGTTATTTACAGCTTTAATTGCTTTCGGTAGTAATAGTATTTCTAAGAAGATAAAAACTATAGCTTTTATACCTATTTATCTCATATATCCTTTCAATTTTAAAAGATTTAATTTATTAAACAATTTTAGATTTATTTGATTTCTTAATAAAATATTAGATAGATAAATAGATAGTCAATTTTTAAGTTCAAATTCCTCTCTGGTAAATCTATCTTTGATGACTTTAGAAACCTGAATGATTTTTTAATTTAATTTATTTTCACTGATATGTTTTGTTTTTTTTTTGGTGATAAAAATAGCATCACAAAATTTGATATATTTTTCACAATTAAATAATGTTTGTTTTTTTTATTATTTTCATAAAAATAGATGGTATTTATTATGTTTGTGTATTTTTTAATTTCTCAATAAATTTATGATAATTAAATAATTAATAGTTGTTATTACCTATTAATTAAAGGTTTTGATTACAGTCCTTAAAATTTAATACCTTAAGAAATAAATACGTATGTACTGTATTGTTGTTCTCAAATAATTATTTCTCAAGTAGGAAATAAATTTTTAGTTTATTTTATAAATTTAATCTAATTTAGAAATAACAAATTTACTTATTTTTTACTTTAATTTAATGTTTTCTCAAATGAAAAAATTCTTAAACAAATAATAGTAATATATTCCTGCTTTAATTTAGTTAAATCATTAAATAAGTCTAAAACATTAAAATATTACTAAGTTTAAAAAACTCTCATATATTTTTTTAAACATTATATTTTACCTTTAACTCAAAAGATTTCGTTTTTCTTTTGCAAAAAATTTAAACATTGTTTATCCACAATATTTTTAAAATGTAGTAAAAATCTACGTAATTAATTATAAGAAATAATAAAAATATTAAATTTCATAATAGCTTGTGAGTTTGTTTTATAAACTAGTTTTTTTATTTGTTTGTAAAATTAAATTCACTATTTGATAGGGTCTAATTCATATTTAAAAACTCAGAAATTTAAGCTTAAATGATAGCTTTCTTTTAAATTATATCATTTTGCTATCAAAAAAAAATAAAATTTTATGGTGTGATACAAAAATATGAAATATAAATAGCATTTGAAATACTTTTTTTCAATATTAATATCTGCTATACATTATATACAATCAATAAAAGCAATTATTTTATTAGAATTTTTATTTATCTTTTATTTGTAATAGATTTGATGTAAATACATTTATATGCAATAAAAAAGGGAAAGTAGGTTAGATCAAATATTTTATAAAATAAAATAATTATTTTTTTATTATAAATTTAAAATTTTTGAAATATTAAATATTCTTGTTGAGTTTACACTCTATATTAAAATGAGTGCATGCACACTTGAAATATTCTGTAATAGCTGTAATATTAATTTTTAAGTTTTGATTTTGAACTTACTCGATTTGAAAAAGGATTTGTTAATTAATTAATTGTTAATAAATTTATATTAATTTGATAAAGAAAAATAACCAAATTTCTTTTTAACATAATATATATTCTTAAATAAACATAATCTTTAAGTCTGATAAAGTATATGTTTCACACTCATCATTATAAATTAAAAATAATTATTTTTTTAAATTAAATTTGATGTAAACAATATTTGTTTTAAATTTAAGTTGGTTATTGATTAAATTCTTCTTATTTAGTGTGCTTTAATTTTCTTTATTAATATCTAGCTTATTAAAATGCGAGTAAAATCAAACAAATAAAGAATAATTCCATTCTAGGAGAAATTACTTATATTTGGTATTTAATTCTTTTACATATTTTTTTATCTATTAAGAATATCAATGCTAATTTTTAACTATTTTAATACATTTTGATTTTATTTAATTAATTTATAAAAATTGTTTTAATATAAAACGGTTTAAATAAATTATTGTTATTTATTAGACGATTTAGTAACAACACCATTTTATAAGGATAAATTTATATAAAATAAATATTTCTGAAATGAGATTAGGAAAATATAAAATAAATCATCTAAATGAATAATAATAATGTATTAATTTACATAAAATGTTGAATTAATAAGAAATACTAACAGTAAGAATTTTTAGTTTAAGAAATGCTTTTACAGTAAGAAATTTTTATATAGAAGATAAAAATTTTCTCAATACACTATAAATTATATTATAATTAGGGCAATTTATAAAAGAGATATTTTCTAAAAACATTAAAGTTCCAAAGATTTATTTTAATATGAAATTCAGTTAATTAATTAATGAATGAATGAAGATTCAGGGTATTATAAATTTAGATAATTACTTCATCTTTTTTTCCAATTGAAATTCTTTTTTCTATTCTCTAACATTTCAAATATTTAGTTGATATTTGTTTCATTTATTTATTATATTTATAAAGTCGAATCATTATTTGTAAATCTCATTTTATTTTTATACAAAAGCTACTAGATGTATCTTAATAACTTCTAGGTAATCATTAATAATTATAACAGAATTAAACTTCCTAATAATCCGATACTCAAATATCTAAATACTTTATAAAAAAACTATTTTAATGTTTAAAATTTAAAATTATATTTACTCGAATGCATGTTTTAAGATAAACTAGTAATATTTAAAGGATTTGAATTATTTTCTTAGGCTAAAATAATTCCTAAAAGAGCAGTCAATACTATGTAAAATACTTCTTATAATATTACTATAAAGTTAAATTGTTTTTCTATAAATGGCGATTTTATAAAGATATAAATTATAAAAAAAACATTTAAACCAGAATGGATCCAGCAACTAAGGTGTTATTTATCATTAGTGAATATAAATATTGATTAAACAACAGTAATAACAACCTTTTTCCACTCAAATAGCAACCAAAAAATTCTAGAAAAGTTATCAGATATTTCAACTTTTTAAGTCAAGCTTTCAAATGTTTATAATTCGTTTGAAGTTATTGAATAGTATTTAAATCCTACTTTAATATTCCAATATATCTGTAAAAGTATATAAACAGATAAAGAAACAGCCATAAAAACTAAGTCTACAATATCAAGATTTTATTTCAAATATAGAGCATACGCAGCATTAAATATCAAAAAATTAGATGTCAGTCTAAAAAAATGAACAAATAAATTCCATTTGACATAAAAGTAAACTCGAAGTAGTTTGCTATTTTAAGAATTTTTTTTATCAACTCTACAAGATCTTGATGCAAATGCTGTAAATATAAATATTGTAAGTATGATAATAACTCCTAAAGCTATAATTGATAAGTAGCAGTTGCTAAAATAGCTATTACTAAAATTATTTACAGATATTAGAGTATCGAACTAATTAAAAGAGTAAAAGATGTTTTCATTTTACTATTTAATTATATTAGGTACAATAGTAATAATATGATAAGAGTAATATGTTTTCAATTCAAATTAATTCATCCACAGTGAATTCAATTTAGAAGCAAATATATAATTTCCTAAAGTTTATGAGTTTTGTATATAAATAGAGCCAAGAGAATTTCCAAATGAAGTGTAGAAAGAAGAAATAATTGTTAATATGATATTTGAAATACTTAAAATATTTATTATTTTGGTTTAAGATTGACTAGTTTCGAATCTTTAGATACAATTTTAATCTAATTTATCTTATAAGTCTAAGCATCCTATTTTTTTAAAATATTCAAGATCATCATTCTCACTTTGAATTTTTGTGTTGTCTTCGCAAGTATTTGTAACTTTGCTTAGATTTAATCCCCCAGCACATGTTTTGCATTGATTAATATCTGGACCAGAACAAATCAAGCAACTCCTGTGACAATATTCACACTTATTATTAGATTCATTGAAAAATTATCCCTCTTCACATTTATCACATTTATGAAAAGTGGGTTAAAATATTAGCCCAAATGAACAAGACAAGCAATTTGTTTCTAACTCTCCATTACAAGTGCGACAATTTTTATGACATTCAAGGCATTTATTATCTGAAATATAATATCCCTTCTTTGTGTTGCAATTACTTGCGCAAGAATTCTTACTTTTATTAAAAGTTATATTAATTTTAGGTATAATTTATAGATAATAGATCTTCATATAATAAATATAGCACAATCTTCATAAAGAAAAACTGTGTAATTTAATTTTAAAAAATTTATTCTTATTTTTTAATCCAAATTTAATAAATTAAATTTTTAATATTTTAATAAAAATTCACTTAATTTAATATTTAAAATTTACCTGACTAATAAATAATGTCCTTTTCTACATGATAGACATTCAGTATTTTTAATACCTTTACAAGTAAGACAGGACTAGTCACATTAGAGGCATTCATTTCCGCTAATAAATAATCCATCTGAACTGCATGAAACACATTGATTGCTTAAGTTTGATAAAAGTTGGTAAATAGTAAATTAGAAAATATTAATTTAAATTTGAACTATTTAATAAATAAAGTACTTTTCAAATAAATATTTTCCTATAGGACATGAAATGCAATCTTTAAATGTTATTCCATTACATTTCAAACAACTGGCATGACATTGCAAACATAATTTATCAGGAGATTAAAAATATCCATCCTCATTACAAGTTCTGCATTAATTTCTATTAATATTAAAACCCATAATAAAAAAATATATTATTAATATTTAATATCAATAAGTGATAACTTTTATTGAAAAGTGTTAATTTGAAATAAAATGATTACTTTAGTGTTAAATATTTACCATCATAACATGATAAACAATTAATATCTTTAGTTCCATTACAAGTAAGACATGATGAATCACATTATATACATTGATTACCCAATATAGATTGCCCAACTTGATCACATGCTTCAATGCATTAATTGCTTAAATTATGTTTAAAAATAATTTTCATAAAAAATCAAAATATAAAATATGCAAATCAATTAATATTTTTTCTGTTATTAATTTAATTTTTTGAGCTTATTTAATTTTGAACTATTTAGATATTGATTTTATTAAATAAATAAAATTTTATCTAAAAGTTTATTTTTAGTAAATATTTGTAAAAAATTCGATTTATTTAATAATTAATTTGCAAAATTATTCAAATTTAAAATTCCCAATTATATACTTTGATGTCAATTTCTAACCAGGTTTGCATGTTAAGCATTTCTTATTTTAAGTTTCATCACAAGTTAAGCAAGATGAATCACACTATATGCATTTAGTACCTACCTTTTGTTGTCCGCTTTAATTACATGTTATACACTCATTGCTTATATTAAGATTATTAAAATAATTACAAATAGAATTCATTAATAAATATTTATAATAAATACTTTTGAGATAAAAATAAAGATAATTTGCATTATGTGCAATTAGTTTTTCCAGTTCCATTACATTTTAAGCATGAAGGATCACATTCTTTGCATTGACCATTTTCTTAGAATTACCTTTCTTAATCACACTTAACACATTTTTGGCTTTTATTAAAATAAAAATAAATTTTTTTTTCAAACGAAACAATAAAAAGAATGAATTTTTAAATAAAAATTTAAATTATTATTTTTTAAATTACCCTTGTGTCAAAAAATAATCTTATTTGCAAGTTAAGCACTTATCTTCAGTGCATTTAAGACAATATTGATTACATTCTAAACATTAATTATTTTTAATATAAAATCCATTATTTATCTAGCATATTTCACACTTATTACTTTTTATTATAAAACATTTTTAAATCTAAAAATTGAATTTTTTATCGAAATAATAAATTACTTTTTAAGCAAATAAAACCCTTCTTTGCATGTTAAACAAAAATCTGCATAGCCTTAGCAAGTAAGGCAAGAATCATCACATTTTTAACAATATAATTATACATATATAAACCATCCTGGCTGTAAGCAATCTACACAAATTCCACTAAAAATTAATAATATAAAAAAATATATATTTTATCAAAATATTCAGTATAATTTTCTTCTGATAAAAATTTACTCATTTGTTAAGTAGTAATCACTTTTACATATTGAACATTAATTTTCATGTATTACTGAGCAAAAATCACAAAACTAAGGGGTTTTAACGCAAGCAAAATTTGCACTAGAACAATATCCCTCTTTACATTTGATACAATCAGTATTTTTTGACCCTCTGCATCCATCACAAGATGCATCGCACTACTCGCAAGTACTTTTATGATTAAATCTTATTTTTAAATTAAATTTAATTATAAAAAAAAAATATTTTTGATATTAGAATAAATTTTTTACTTTTAAATATATCTATCGTTTTAGCAGGATAAGCAATTTGATTAATCTGGACCGTAGCATGTAGCACAATTTATATGACATTTTTGACAACTTTAATTAAAATTCATCTAATAATATCCCTATTAGCATCCTTAACAATTCAAACTATTTTATTAGCAAGCTACACAAGATTAATCACATCTATAACAATTTTCATTTAAGAGATAAAAACCATCCTATTTACAACTGATGCATTCACTTGAACTGGTAGATAGACTGAAATATAATTATATTTAAAATGTAAATTAATCTAATAAAATTATTTATGAGAAAAATATTTAAGTAAAAATCAAAAAACAATTAAAAAAATCTATATTTGTATTTTAGATAAACATTTTTAAAATAAAACTCAAGTTTCAATAAATATTTTTTAATTAATCATAAAAGTTATCTAGTTGCTGAGCTAACACATTAATAAATAAATTAAGTGAAAGAGTTTTCCTACCAAAAATTTATTAGACTTGGATATTAAGCTAAGATCATTTCCAAGATATTCATTATTTTCTTAATGACTACAAAAGTTAGCTTTACAGTTGGTAATGGTAATTTATTTATTTAATTATATCTTTCTTTCTTACTTTCAAATATTTTCATTAAATTAATATAAAAAAATGAGTTTTTTCTTTAAATACTCAAAATAAATATCTCACTTCCTATCATTTGTTATTTATTTTTATTTTTGCAATTAATTATTGCAAATGATCATTTCAAAATAAATAGATAAATCGATATAGTATCTGAAAAAAATAATTAAAATAATAAATTTAATATAATGAATGAAAATAGTCTATCAAAGAAACTTAAAAATAATTTATGAAAAAAAAAAATTCAAGAAAAATATAAACTATTATTTTTTAATAATACCTTTACAGTAAATATAATGATTATTAGCATGAAATACAATCATATTTTGATGGACCTTTACAAGTAAAGCAGCTACTGTGGCAAGGCTTACATTTTTTTGTATTATCACTAGTACTATTAAAAAATAGATATAATTAAATTTAAGCTTTTATCAAAAAATTACTTTTAATCTAAGTAATAGCCGTCTTTACACTATGTACATTAAGTTTCATTAGATCCAAAACAGCGTTTACATGTTTTAAAACATTCTTTACATTATTGATTTTAATAAATGTAAAAGCCATCTTTATCGCATTAATCGCAAGCTTTTTAACTGAAATA